TTCCTTGGGTTTGACGAACCTAGGCTTGGGTTCTTTAGAATCTAGCTGGGTTCGACGAACCTAGACTCTAGGTTCTTTGGAACCAGGTGATGGGTTCCAAGGAACCTGGTGCTGGGTTCGACGAACCCAGACCCAGGGTCTAGGTTCCTTGGAACCCGGCGCTTGGTTCGTCAAACCTATGCTTGGGTTCCTTGGAATCTAGCTGGGTTCGAAGGAACCCATCGCCTGGGTTCGTCGAACCCAGGCTTGGGTTCCTTTGAACCCATTGCTTGGGTTCGACGAACCTAGGCTCTGGGTTCCTTGGAACCTGGCACTAGGTTTGACAAATCCAGGCCTAAGCTTTAGGTTCCTTGGAACTTAGTGCTAGGTTCGATCTAACCTAGATCACCTGGGTTCAACGAACTCATGCGTTGGGTTTGAAGGAACCCATCACCTAGGTTTGACGATCCCAGGCTCTAGGTTCCTTTGAACTTGCTGCTGGATTCGATCGAACCCACGCGTTGGGTTCTTTGACAAAAAAAATAAATAAAAAATTTGTGTTTTTTGAGGTGTTGTTTGATGATGATGATGCAGAAGGAAAGGATGAGGAAAGAGAAAAGGAATGAGGAACGCCCAGCTGGGTTCGAAGGAACCCATTGCTTGGGTTCGACAATCCCAGGCTCTGGGTTCAAGAAAGGAAGAGGGAGGAGAAAGAGGACGAGGAAGGGGAAAGAATTTTTTAAATTTTTATTGCCATGTTGTCTTCCACGTGAGTTAAAATTTTGACATGTCATTATCTTACTATGAATTAATAGTACGGGTGGAGAGATTTTTAACAGAAAGACCAAATTGGGGTAAAAATGGTAAATAATAGGGATCAAGTCAGGGATTTTTTTAAGTTGAGGGACTCAATTGGTGGTCCATACAATAGTTGAGGGACCAAAAAGTGGGTTTAACCTTTTTTTTTCACACTCAGACACTTATTGGAAGAATGTTTAAAAATATTTTTTAAAAGTAAATTCTCCTGCGACAAATTCAAAAAAAGTAGATTAGAGGGTCATGTACAGCCAACCAAGCAGATTTCAGGGTCATGTACTTCTGCTTTAGTTAAATTAAATAATTGATTTAGCACCGTAAAGGTTACAAAAGCTGATTTGCTTTTTCTGCCTTAGCTTTCTTAAACGGAGACAAAAATCCGAAAACGACATAACATAAGACACACAGCACATCTGCACATGCACTGCGGTGCAGTTGCGTTTGAGCTCTAGAAAAAAAGTAGTGGTCTTTTCTAGAATCAATTTCACATTCAAAGTCATGATGAGTACTTGCAAGCCACAACAACCGGCTAAGCAATGAAAATATATGATACCCAAGAAGCTTTTCTAGGAAAAGGTTTCTAAAGTTGAATCAAATTAGCAAATGGGAAAAGGACTAAACAGAAAAAAGACACAACTTAAGAGTTTTCATTTGAGACCAATGGAGGGTGTGATCTTACAAAGAGACCCTTTCCCTTGGTTTCTTTAGGATTCTTACTTTTTCTACTGGTTGTTTGATCTAAAACAGAAGCATGTAATCAAGATTAAGCAAAAAGATCGATTTTGAAGGCAAATTTGATGATTAGGGCAGGTGAGAGTGAGTGAAAGTGGGTACATATTCTTGGTACCCCACCAAAGATCCGCTTAGAATTAATGTAGAGATTGCTTTCTAAATCAATCCATGCATGGGTCAAAATTATGGATGATTGGGTTGTTGAAACATGTTTTTTTTTTTTTTTCTTTTTCTATGATCTAAAATCCATCACATGTGTTGTTCCATGCATTCCACTGCATTTAGCTCTAATTTTATTTATCTATCTATAGATGGTTCTTTTAAATTCTGATATTAAAAATTAGTTCTTCATTTCATATGGGTTTTTCAAATTAACAAGGTTTTTATCAGGTTGAACAAGAGGATGCAGCTGGAAGACAGAAAGCAACGTTATGAGAATTTTTGGAAACGTGTTCAATTAATCTAGAAACAGCAGCATGCCTAGTGCGCGGGAAATACATGAGGTGTATGACTCCCTTCCCTGCAATGAGCGAAAGTAGGGACCCCAGAATTTTGACCTTAAACTATTGCTTAAACTCCATAAAACGAATTTGCTGTGTTTTGCTTCGCTTAGTTCTATATCTGAAGAGGAATCTTGAAGCTATTAATTTATATTAGAACATCCTGTTATTAAAAGTGTTAGTCCAATCTCAGTTTAAAAAATGGGTGAGTTATGGTGTTGTTGATTTTATTTATTAAGTGATAAAGATTAGATATTTTGATAGTTTTAATATTAGTTGTCTTAATTTTCACTTTTCCCCGTGAAGAAAATGCATACTTCTTCGAGTTCTACGAAGGCAAGGGTTTGGGTTTGAAATCATCATCCGAAGGTGTCCTACCCAAAGGCAAGTGCATTGGCCACTTGCTCTGGATGGGAAAGACCTCCGATTCGCAAGTAGGTTTCTTTTATTAGCTTCAAGGAACAAATTAAAATTCTGCCATGATGAACGAGGTGATGGTGCAGCTAACTAATGGTGTTTTTGGATTGAGGGTTTTGGAGGGAAAGGTCTATTCTTCCTTTTTGTGTTTGTTTGAATCTCTTAATAAAGAGAAGTTTTGATTGACAATGTCTTGTACAAACTTTTTTCATGCAATACATTATTTGAAAGTGTAAGTTTATAATTAATAATTTTTAATATATATTTTTTAATTTTAATTAATATTTTATATATTTTTAAGATAATAAAAGAAAAAAAATTCTACAACTATAGTTTTTTACTTAATAGTGTAACACAATGTAACAATATCAACCAGAGCTTAAGAGAATGTTTAGTTTAAAAGGAATGAAGGGAAGAGGGGAGATGAATTTTAATCCAAACAAATGCTAAGGGCAATGAAAGAGTGATGAAACCTCCATTCTTCTATTTTTCATCCCCCTAAATTAGGGGAATTGAAGTGGATTCATTCAATTATATATATTAGAATAAAGCATATTAATTTTAACTCTAAAAAAAATTAAAATTTTTAATTAAATTTTATCATTTTATTTAATTAAACCTCAATCCCTACTTTTGCCCTTCCGCCTTCTTCAAGATTTCAACTCATGAGATTTAATTCTTGTCAGCACAACAGAGATGGAATTGATAAGGACATTGATTTTATGAATTTTAAATTGTTCATGTTAGATTATTTTGTAAAGGATTAAATAGATACTACTCTCTATTATCATGCAAAATTTTTGTTAGTGCTTTTGCCCTTCCCCCTTCTTCAAGATTTCAACTCATGAGATTTAATTCTTGTCAGCACAACAGAGATGGAATTGATAAGGACATTGATTTGATGAATTTTAAATTGTTCATGTTAGATTATTTTGTAAAGGATTAAATAGATACCACTCTCTATTATCATGCGA